GAACTATTTGTGCGGAAAAGTGCAGCGCGGGACGACATGCGCGAATAAAAAATGGGAAAATTGTAACGCATGTAACAGCCACGGTAACCCACGACGCCCACACACGCCACGTGACATTCAATTTATTAATCATCAAATAATTCAAAGCGCTGGCTACGAGGCTGATCCGACATCAAGATTTCAAAGCAGTAATTCATCCTTAAGGAGACGTAAACGCAATTTAAAGGAATTTCGTGGTTGGAATTTAGGATGTAAATTAAATAAAATTCGTAGTTTTGTTAGTTTAGCCAAAGGTAATCAAACTAGTCATTATTACGTCACTGCGGAAAAAGTTGAACAGGAAATGGTATGCATGCAGCCATTGAAGAGGCTGTTATGCAAATTACAGGTTTGCAGATTTTTCAACACCGTGTATACCATTGAAATGTTGTTCAGAAAGAAAACATACTGTGGTATGTTACTACTCCCCTGTGACTAAACAACAACACAATTTTTGTCCTTTTGCATGACATCTACATTGTAAATATAAGGAAAATCTTCGTTGAAATCACCCAACTTGGCGGGGTCATGATGGGAACGCATGCCAGGAACAAGCAAATATTTTGACCGCGCCGATGTTATTTTCTAGTGGTAAATTTCTGTTGCAATATTTAGTGTTGACGTTGCAATGTCTGTAATATTTCTGTTGCAATGTTTAGTGTTGCTTTTGCGAAATGGAGCTTCGCATATAATTGTTCAATAATATTACGACGCAAAACAAGTTGTAACCAGCCATAAATACAAGCAAGCGAATTACATTTGACGTTCAAAGATCGAGCAACTAACCCTTACTTACATAACAAATAATTTCTTACTTGTTTATAAATGAACTCCCTTTTCAATTGTTGCTTGATGTCGGCCACTTTGTTGGTAATCGGTCAAATATATTTCAGTTCCTCTGCAGAACAAACTTGTAAAATATAAACGTTTCAATGTCCGTTGTATTGTCGCCATTTTGGTTCTTCTCCAACGAAACCACATTCTTTAGCGAAACACAGCCTCAGCACAGTATGAGGAATATATCGAAGATAACTTCATTGACATTTTTGTGCCACCCGTATTATTACCACAGTGTAGTGACTCAACAGGATGTTTCGAAAAACTGTTCGTCTTTGAAATCAGCCGACGTTCAGACTTTGCATGATTCAGCAGTAATTGATCCCTAAAGACCTGTAAACGCAATTGAAGACAATAATACATACGAATCGCGGCTACTGTTCGTTGCAAATTTCAAGCATGAAATTTATTTCAATTCCGTTACGCTTTAGTTGCGGATCAATTACTCCTGAAACAGGCAAAGTGGAAACGTCGGCTAGTTTCAACTGTGTAGAGAAAGAACCTTCTTTATGTTCGTTATTCTGTAGCCACACGAAAACAAACAATACCATTTGGCTGCGCAACTTGGTGCTGTATATTTAGTACCTACTGTGGTCAACCATCTATAATTGGGGGGGGGAGAGAGTATTGATATATGAATATATGATTATGACCCTCCCCCCCAGAAAGCCCCATTTGTCGATTTTTTTTACGTTTGCAACATTGCGTCAACAACAAATACTTCAATCGGGAAAGTTGCCTTTGTACGCGTTATTTTCATGAGTCAATATGTTTGGATAACCTGATGCAAACGCGAGCATCGACCAATCAGAGCACGCAATATACATGTTATTTTGTAAATGAAAATTATAATTTTAAATGTAAATTATGTTGTTTACCAAGGTTCGTCAACGAACAGGCTATTGTCCACAATTTGATGCTTTGATCGATTTATTGACGGGACGGGAGATGTTACAAATGTATGCTGCACTTCGTGGAGTCCCCAGTCATGAGATCAATCCATTGATTGAAGATTTAATGAGATCAGTGTTGCTAACGGAACACGCTGATAAGTTAACTAAACATACAGGTATAATAGAAGAAAACGTCGTCTACTTTTAAATAGAATGCTGTACTATAAATGCTCACCCGAGGTTTTGCCATTTATATATTCATTTTGGTTTATTTGACTTTAAACCTGAGTATTTATATACTTCTGTGTAGTTTCTTCATGAGGAGTGATCTGTTGTGCAACTTTAGTCCTTATACTCCAGTCTTGTGTCTTTATCTGAGTAATGATGTTGAAACTTTAGTCCTTATATACTCCAGTTTTGTGTCTTCATCTGAGTGATTTTTGTGAAATTATGCATTTCTTACAGTGGTGGAAACTCTATGTACTCTTGTGTAGTTTCATGAGGAGTGATCTGATGTTAAATTTAGTCTTATATACTCCAGTCTAGTGTCTTCATCAGGAGTGATCTGATGTTGAAACTTTAGTTCTTATATACTCCAGTCTTGTGTCTTTATCTGGAGTGATCTGATGTTGAAACTTCAGTTCTTAATTACTCCAGTCTAATGTCTTCGTCAGGAGGATCTGATGTTGAAACTTTGTTCTTATATAATCCAGTCTAATGTCTTCATCAGGATTGATCTGATGTTGAAACTGTAGTCGTTATGTACTCCAGTCTAGTGTCTTTATCAGAACTGATCTGATGTTGAATTTTAATCCTTAAATTCTCCAGTTTAGTGTCTTCATCTGAGTGATCTCATGTTGAAACTTTAATCCTTACATTCTCCAGTTTAGTGTCTTCATCAGGAGTGATCTCATGTTGAAACTTTAATCCTTACATTCTCCAGTTTAGTGTCTTCATCTGGAGTGATCTCATGTTGAAACTTTAATTACATTCTCCAGTTTGGTGTCTTCATCAGGAGTGATCTGATGTTGAAACTTTAATCCTTACATTCTCCAGTTTAGTGTCTTCATCAGGGTGATCTGATGTTGAATTTTTAGTTCTTATATACTCCAGTCTTGTGTCTTTATCTGGAGTGATCTGATGTTGAAACTATAATCTTATATACTCAGTCTTGAGTCTTTATCTGGAGTGATCTGATGTTGAAACTTGAGTTCTTATATACTCCAGTCTAGTGTCTTCATCAGGAGGATCTGATGTTGAAACTGTAGTCGTTATGTACTCCAGTCTAGTGTCTTTATCAGAACTGATCTGATGTTGAAACTTTAATCCTTAAATTCTCCAGTTTAGGTCTTCATCTGAGTGATCTCATGTTGAAACTTTAATCCTTACATTCTCCAGTTTAGTGTCTTCATCTGGAGTGATCTCATGTTGAAACTTTAATCCTTACATTCTCCAGTTTAGTGTCTTCATCAGGAGTGATCTGATGTTGAAACTTTAATCCTTACATTCTCAGTTTAGTGTCTTCATCGGAGTGATCTGATGTTGAATTTTAGTTCTTATATACTCCAGTCTTGTGTCTTTATCTGGAGTGATCGGATGTTGAAACTATAATCTTTATATACTCTAGTCTTGAGTCTTTATCTGGTGTGATCTGATGTTGAAACTTGGTTCATATGCCCAGTCTATTGTCTCAGGAGTGATCTGATGTTGAAACTGTAGTCGTTATGTACCCAGTCTAGTGTCTTTATCAGAACTGATCTGATGTTGAAACTTTAATCCTTACATTCTCCAGTTTAGTGTCTTCATCAGGAGTGATCTCATGTTGAAACTTTAATTCTTACATTCTCCAGTTTAGTGTCTTCATCTGGAGTGATCTCATGTTGAAACTTTAATCCTTACATTCTCCAGTTTGGTGTCTTCATCAGAGTGATCTGATGTTGAAACTTTAATCCTTACATTCTCCAGTTTAGTGCTTCATCAGAGTGATCTGATGTTGAATTTTTAGTTATATACTCCAGTCTTGTGTCTTTATCTGGAGTGATCTGATGTTGAAACTATAATCTTTATATACTCTAGTCTTGAGTCTTTATCTGGAGTGATCTGATGTTGAAACTTGAGTTCTTATATACTCCAGTCTAGTGTCTTCATCAGGAGTGATCTGATGTTGAAACTGTAGTCGTTATGTACTCCAGTCTAGTGTCTTTATCAGAACTGATCTGATGTTGAAACTTTAATCCTTACATTCTCCAGTTTAGTGTCATCATCAGGAGTGATTTTATGTGGAAATTATGCATGTGACGCGTCAAACATCTGCGATCTTTTTATAGCAATCCCAGGCTTCTTAGTTCACGAATACAAAGATTACCTTTTCTTTTTACAGTGGTGGAAACATACGCAAACTAAGTACAGCGATAGCTTTGATTGGCGATCCACTCATAATTTTTCTCGATGAACCAACAACTGGGATGGATCCTGTTGCAAGACGACTGTTTTGGAACACTTTATGTAGAGTCAGAGCCGAAGGTATGAAACTTGTGATGAAGCGGGTTTCCTTCCGGGGGGGGAGATGTGTTGAAGAATGCAATTACATACAGTTGATACCCGCCTAATATGAGCGCCATTTTGGTTATTATTAAAATAATAATCCCTTAGGTCGATGCCTTATGATTGGTAATCACTTTGTACCCACCCTTCAGGTCGATGCCTGATGATTGGTAACCATTTTGTCCCTCCTCTCCCCTAGGTTGATGCCTTATGATTGGTAATCATTTTGTTCCTCTTCCTCTCCTTAGGTCGATGCCTGATGATTACGTCACATAGCATGGAAGAATGCGAGGCGTTGTGTACTCGGTTGGCAATCATGGTCAATGGCAAATTTTGTTGCCTCGGTAGCCCGCAACACCTGAAGAACAAATTCGTTCAAGGATACACTTTGTTGGTAAGCCCTCCAAGTGACACGCCCAGTAATGACACGACCTTGGTAAAAGAATTCGTTGCAGAGACGTTCCCAGGCAGTGAACTTCGAGACGAGCACAATGGCTTGTTGAATTACCACATAGGCGATTCAAAATGGGCTTGGTCTTCCCTGTTTGCGATCTTAGAAGATGCGCACAGCCGTTCTGTTATCGGTAATTATTCTATAAAGCAAACCACACTGGATGAAATATTTTTAAATTTTGCTCTCTCACAGGGAGGCTACGACGATTAGATGGTCGATTAATATTGTCCTACATGGGGCACTGTGACCATTTATTTTGAATTATTACTAAATCTTTTTTATCGTCTTAAGTGATTGTTTTGTTGATTTTAATTTTTCAATCGCGCCTTGTATACGCCACTAAATGTTGCAACACCAAAAGAATTACCCGAATGAAGTAAGCACGACGCATGACCAAGAACCCAGTCTACTAGATATCTGACTCCGCCGAAATTTATAGTTACGAGTGAGGCAAGCCGCCATCTTGAAAGGTGGCAAAATTGACGATATTTACGACTAAAAATCACTCTTCAAACCTTCTTTTCTTGGTACGGAGTCAGCAGGTATCCACGAAACTTGCTTTAACTGCATTATGAAGTGCGATGTAATATAAAGGAGAAGCTATGCTTTGTCGCCTTGGATTTCGAGCAGAAATGCAAACAGCGGCAACGAGCTCAAGTTTAGAAAAATCTTATGAAATACCTGATGGTCAGGTTATTACATTTGGCAATGAGCGATTCAGATGCCCTGAAGCACTCTTCCAACCTTCTTTCTTGGTATGGAGTCTACAGGTATCCATGAAACTTGTTACAATTCAATCATGAAGTGTGATGTTGATATCCGTAAGGATCTTTATGCCAACACTGTCCTCTCTGGTGGTCAACCATGTATTCTGGTATTGCTGACAGAATGCCGAAAGAAATCATTGCCCTTGCCCCTCCCACAATGAAAATTAAGGTTATTGCTCCACCAGAAAGAAAGTACTCTGTCTGGATTGGTGGCTCCATTTTGGCCTCTTTCCACCTTCCAACAGATGTGGATCTCGAAACAAGAATACGACGAATCTGGACCTTCGATGTGCAAGGAAATGCTTCTAGATTGCTTTTGACGTTTAACAGTTAATTAAAAATATATGATAGAGTTGGTTTGTTTTTATTGTTTTTCGAACGCTTTCGTATCAAAGGTCCGCATTAAAAAAAAGGAAAATATTATGGAGTTTGTTGACTAACGTAGCATCAAAGTTGAAATAGATAAAGCCTTTGTTGGTTTTATTTGCCTTCGTTTGTATAAAGACCTGATTTTCATGTTTTTTTATTTATATCTTTAAAGTTATTTGAATTTTAATTTGTGAAATTTTGATGATTGAACATATAATTGAACAACAACAAACTCCTCGTTTATTTTAGTGGCGAGCATGCGCTGTGGTGATAACACTAACATCTGACAGTTATAATCATAATAACATAATAATAACAAACATGTGACAGTCAAATGACTAAGATGTGAAATGACCATTATGACCTCTCACCTTCTCAGAAAATGATTTCATCACCAAGCATTCACGAAATCTGCCAACCAATCAAATCAAGTTTTTTTTCACCACTATAAACAATCATCAATTGAAACAACCAATCACTTTCAAGGCAAAGTGAACATGATACCTCACGATGGTATACTTAGGCACATGACTGGATGCTGATAAGAAAATGTTGCTACGGCAACCCTGTAAGTCTATATATGACATACGACCATACATAACATCGAACACGTTGGAAAGCCAAATGCAACTTTGTTCGTTTTAGTCCTTACAACAAACAAACGCAATCTGGTGAGCGTTTTTGGGCATTATGAGTAAATAGAAGAATTAGTTACATTTTATCGATTCATTGACATTGAAAGTTGCTAGCAGTTTGTATACGAATTTTGTACAAACTAGCATCCGTCAACCGGCAAGGAGGTCTTACAGAGTTTCGCTTTCAAATCACATAAAACCTTATAAGTAAATGAAAAGTCTTAATTATGATGCAATCGGGTAGATGCAGTGGCGTGCGGTCATGCAAGCGTGCGGTGGCGTGCAGTGGCGTGGTCAAAATTTGATGAATCTCTCTGAGCAAAATCAGTTTAAATTTTTCTGTTCTAAACAATGTCAATGTAATCTTTTGTCTAAATTGTCTTTACAGTTGAAATGCTTGCTATTTATACGCGATTTACTGTCGTGGTTTCGGTTTCACTTGCTACACTTGTAAGATGAGTCAAGTGTATTAAATTAAGTGGATTAAATTAATTATTTATTAACCAAGGCAAGCGCGCTTGCCTTCGGCTTCAATTTGAACATTTGCGCATGCGTTAATCTAGATTTGAGGCTTCTTATTCGAGGAATATCGAGACGTAAGCGGCGCTTCTAGGCGCCGCTTGATAGCGATTGTCACAGTCCGTGCGCTCGCAATTTTAAACACATATCAGCGCACGAATATTCGTATATTCAAACAATAATGGACATCCAATTATTCAAAATGCCACAATGTTATCTGTTTATTAAAGATTTAATTTATGTTTAAAAGGTAAAATGTTCTGACTTCAAAGTAGTAGATTTCTAATTTATGTAGTAGAAGATAATATCCTAGCATGTTATACTTTAGCGTTGTTAAGTCTGCGTATGAGCTCTGAAACGCATTTCATGTACCAGAAACGCCAAATTTGATTATTTTATTGATTACAAAGTGTGAGTATTCTATATATCAGAATGTATATTTTTATATATTTTATAATGAATAGATGAGTACGTATGGTTTTGATGGTTTATAAATATATGAGCAGTAAGTTTGATGAGCAATGACATTATGGCATTATGAATTGAATGAATAACGGAGACGATCAACACTGTACGATGGATTATGATTTACCAGGAATCACCGTTATCCCACCATTTGATTGACCGAAACGAGAATCGTCGAAGGCTGTCGTCCCACTCCTGAGTTGCAAGCGACTACATACAACATCCAAGCGAAGTGGTAAAGTCTTTATTCGAAGTTTTCAGACGTCAAATTACGACAAGTACAAATGGCTGGCTGGCTCCTCAAAATTGAATAAGTTATTTTGCTGGCCGTGTCTTTTGTTCAACTCAACAGACAAGACAGTCTGGTGCAAGAAGGGATACGATGATTTGGCCAACCTGTGTAATGCCGTCAACAGACACGAGAAAACGAAGACACACTTGTCCAGTTGCCTAATGAATGCCAGTTTTGGGCGTACACGCATCGACATGCAGCTAGACGAACAGGCCCGTCAACACATCTCAGCTCACAACTTGATGGTGCACAAGAATAGAGAAGTACTTCCCCGTTTCATTGATGTTGTTTGCTTTCGGCAAACAGGAACTTTCAGAGGTCGGGGAGCTGGAGGAGTCTGCCAACAGGGCAATTACGTCGAATTGATAAAACTGCGGTGCATATGACCCCACGCTTGAACAGCATCTTCATACAGCAACCGTGTTTTCTGGACTTTCTAATCGTATCCAGAACGATTTGATTGTTGCTGTCAAGGACGTTATGTTGAAAGCAATAAAAGATGAAGTGATGAGGAGCCCATTTGTCGCTATTTCCTGGATGAAACCTCCGACGTTAAGACCTTATCGCAGCTAACAACTATAGTTCGCTATGTCAACCAGATGGTAAAGCTGTGGAGCGCTTTCTTGGATTTACCGATGTAAGTGAGGATAGAACTGCGGCTAGACTGAAACAAGAAGTCGGTAAACCCTGAACGAGTACGGATGCGGCGAAAACTGATTGCCCAAACGTATGACGGTGCGAGTGTGATGTCAGGAGAACTGTCTGGTTTGCAAACACAGTAAGAAGACTATCCACATGCTCTTTTATCCACTGTTGCGGACACGCATTAATTTTGGTCCTTGTTCAAGCTGTCTCGTCAACTAAAGAGTGTCGTATATTTTTTAAAACCGTCACTGGTCTTTCAACCTTTTTTCACGCCTCGTCCAAGAGAACATACCTGTTGGACACAGTTGTCGGCAGACGCATTCCCACTGGAACAGCTGTTCGATGGCACTATCAGAGCAGGTTAATCCATGCTGTACTGGAGACAAGAGCAAAGCTGCTCGAAGTTTTCGAATACATCATCGAAAATGATGACGAGTTTGACGGTACGACGTTAAACGAAGCGAGGGCTACCGACAAGTTCTTGCAGATTTCAGTTTGGTTCTGCCTTAAAATATTTTCAGAAATATTTGGTCTTACGGATGTTTTGTATAATATCATTCAGAGTAAGCAGTTCGATATTGTCTTCTGTGTCACGAAAGTTCGCGAGACGAAAGATAAGATTCAAGAACAACGAACAAAATTCGTAGATTATTGGAATTTTACGTCAAGTATCGTCAAAGTAGCACTGAAACGCAGGCAAAGTGAAGAGGATGTAAAGGCGTCCTTCCGTCAAATGTTTTCTCTGTGAAGTCGATACCATTGTCGTGCAGATTGACTCTGATTCGAAAGTCTTAACAGCAGAGCATTCGTTTCTTTGTTGGATCATTCAAAGCACGAATTGTACAGCCGGAATTTTCCCGAACGAGAGCTGCAATCGTTGCAAGATTCATATGGAACATTCTTTAATCTTCAAGCACTAAAAGTGAACTAATCGTTGTATACGCATCTGCCGAGCTCAAATCGAAACCTGTTTTGATATGATATCAAAAATAATCGAACTTGACTTGAAAGCCTGTTTTCAGAGGTGTACCGTTGGTAGCTCATTGTTACTATGCCAAGTACGTCCTCCTCTGCAGAAAGATCATTTTCGGCTCTCAAGCGTATCAAAACGTATCTTCGCAGTACACAAGGGCAAGAGCGACTTTCTGCATTGGCTACAATTTCAATCGAGAAGGAGATGTTGGTGTTTGCAGGGGAAGCCACGATTCTATGAGGACGTTATAAAGGAGTTTTGCGCTGGAAAGACGGATGGAATTTACATTTAAGTAAATCTGTTGTAGGATTTTGGACTATTTCGTTCTGTTACTTCTTCACTACAATAGAAATGCACGCGTAGCCATTTACTTAAAACGACTTTATATCACAATACCACATGTAATACTTTTAAACCGTAATTGTGATATATACTCTATAAAAGTTTTTGAATTTTTTAGATTTTTTCAATACTGTTTCAGTCATGACAGATACATTTTTTCGACAAAGTACTCCAGAAATCGGGAAATGCGCTCCAGTAGCCTTCAAAATCCAAAATTTTCTGGGGAGCATGCCCCAGAACCCTAGATAGCTTCGCGCATGCCGAACCTCACCCCCAGCGCTTGCCTATTAAATTCGGTCACCCCACGCCACTGGTCAGATGGAGCAAACAACGTTAATTCGTGATTCAAACGCAGCATTTTCTGACTCCTGACTCATGAGTGTTTGCAAAGTGTCGCGACAAAGATGGTGGAGTTTTTTTTATTTAAGTAAATGGTACTTTAACTGCTTTTTTAGATCCTACGAGTTGATGGTTTTGCATTCTTGAGTTCTTTCGAAAATTTAAGACTATTTTAAATGGTACCAGTTAAAAAACTTGCTGGGAGAATGTCAAAATTGAAACAACTTGGTCTACTGATATGGAAGAACTTCAAGCTTCAAAGAAAACATCCGATTGAACTATTTTTCAAATAGGTTACCATGCTGCGTGTCATTCATACTCCTGGCCTTGCGATTGTTCCTTTTCACTGCCAAAGATTGCCCAGCCTTGGTTTGAATGAATTCAATGTAACCTCTCCACCACCTGCACTAAGAAGATCATTCTCTATAGGGTTGGCTGCAAATAATGCTTCTCAACTCTCCATGAGCTTTTCAACAACCTTACATTTTATCTTAATGAACATGCTTATCCGGATCAAAACATCACCTTGCAAATATTTCCAAATGAGGATGACATGGTTAATGAAATAATGAGCTCCTCTGAAGGCAACTCTACCAAATGCATTGGAGGTATATACTTTACTCGTCTCCCATCAAAACAGGCCAATTTCATCAACTACACACTGCGATTCATCAACCCAAAGGAAGACAACTCTGGCCTTGGCAAGAATGGCCATGGCTGGTTGACAAAGTATGTTTTCCT